AATCTTTAAATAAAAGCAGTTCCATAATTTTTAGCATTGTCAACAACACTAGAATATTTTACTTAGACTTTTCTACATTTTTCATAGAATTATAATTTCATTTATTTTAATTCATGTTTATGTTATTCTAATAAAGATTATAAATCATCTTTATGTACTTCTTATACTTTTTTTATTTCATCTTCAATTTCTTAATTTCTAGATTCTTCATATTCAATTTTCTCAATATGTTATTATTTAAGTTTATTAATTTCATTTTCATATTTAACTTTCTCTTCCATATATTAACTATATAATTAATCATAATCCTATTCTGATTTCTCTACAAATTTATCTTTTAAATTCTTATCATCAGACATAGTTTATTAAAATTTCTTAGTCATTTAATCAATTTTCTATTTAAATTAAGTCTCTAATTTTGCTGTCTCAATTCTTACAGTTTATTCAGATTTAATAACTTCAAAATTCTTTGATTATATTCTATCATTTTCTTTTTAAATCTTAAATATGACTTCTAAATAAAGATCATTTGAAACTGCAGCCATCCTTTATCTTTCTTCTGAAATTTCACTTCTAGATTTCAATAAACAAACTGATCCATCTTCACATCCTGTAAATATATATTAACCATCATAATCAATACAAGTAATAGCAGTTGCATGAACTGAAATTTCAAAACATTCAGGTATTTTATACATTGTTTCATTTTTTTAATTAATTAATTCTAATTCTAAATTATCTTCATCTCTAATTGGATATATTCTTACACTTCCTTTAGAAGTACCTGCAATAATATGTTAATCAGTCATTAATAATTTAGTTAAATAACAATCAGTTACATGAAATTCAGTAATTAATTTGAAATTTTTATCAAAAATCACCATTAATTTCTCATTTGTACTTCCAATAAAATATTCATCATATTAGATAGAATTAAAAATTCCTTATTCTTGGTGTTTTTACTCTCTAATAACATTATTATTAAGTTCTGCTAAATTATAACAATATACATATCCATTTGTACAAGTACTAACAATATATTGATCATTTAGAGATATAGCAATATCTTTAATAGGTGAATTATGAAATTCAAATTAATGTATTAGTTCATAATAAATTGCATCATAAATATAAACATTTGTTTTTTCATTAGTAATAAGCATATGTCCACCATGACTATACTTAACAATTTTACAATTATTTAATGTAACATCTTTAAGAGGAAAGAAACCCTCATTTAAGATAGCAAAAACTTTAAATCCATTAGTAAATCCAACAGCTACAAATAAACCAAATGGATGCATAGAAGCACATACAGGTTCTTCTTTGAAATATTTACTTAAGACTCCTTTTTTATCATTATTTTCATTTTAATAATAATTCCAAATTTTAACAGAATTATCTTCTGAACATGTAACAAATACTTATTTAATTTTAGCATGTGAAATAGAATTAACTCTTTTATTATGAAATCCTGCAGCAAAGAATGGTTAGATAGGACTAATTTCAGTATCCATTTAAGCAGTATTTAAAATACTATAATATAATTGATTACCAAATAAACTTATTATAGAAATAAGTTAATCACCACTATTAGATATTTATATAACTTTATGTTCACCTCTATTACTTTTCATATTAAATGACATAGCACTTACAATATTATAATTTTTATCAAATTCATAAATACAAACAGCTCCTTTAGTACCTCCTAAAATAAATCCTTTTTTAGTAGTTGATAAACATTAGAATTCTAATTATTATTATGTCATTATAGTTGTATTTTATGTTAATTTAGTTTGATTGTTCATTCCAATTTATCCAACTTTATCTTTGATAACATCTTCAAGTGCAGAATTAATACCCATAACATCATCATTATCTTCTGCATTAAAATCTTATACAGGTGCATCAATAAAATTTAAATTTTAAGGATCAATATCAATAGGTTTTTTGAAATGATCATTAATTAGTATCAATATCTTATTACCAGCTGCTAATAATACTAATAAAGCTTAATTAGCTGAAAGCATAACCCATCCATGATCTAAAAATTTATTTTCTTTTTCTATTTTGAGTGGTATTAAAGTTTCATGAGTTTCTTTAATTTATTTTTCTTAAAATTACATTTCCCATAATCTTAAATAATTATGACCAGATAATAAAATATGTTTATGTTTCAAAGGATGAAAACTAAATTTTTCAAAAGGTGCTTTTACAAAAGCTGATGCTAATAATCTTTCCTTTTCATAATTCCAAATTTATATTTAATTAGATATTTGTAATCCACAATATTATTTCTC